ATTAACTGGGATTTCCAGCTGGCTGGCCATGAGGTGGGGTGGGGGGCAGGAATGTGAAGCTGGGAGGCAGAGACTTAATGGGATGGGGGGTTCAGATGGTATGGCATGCCAATACATTGTGTTAGTAAGGCGTTTAGTGTCTTTTTAATATACCAGGGGGCTAGTGCTATATTTTAATATGTTTAATATCAAAGCAAAACAAAATATAACTATTGGAATGTGCACTGAGTTACTAGATTATTTATAAAGTTTTTTAAAAAACACAACAAACTGGGCAAAAAATAGTCAAAAGATGTTGTTATTGCTTCTGCAGTTATTATAGATAAATATATGTCTCTTATTCAGATTCATAAAACAAAATCTAGCCTCCTTGAACATTTTGACAGTGCCTCCAATACTTCACTGTCAGTCATTTTTACATCTGAGTTAGTATTACCACACCTGAGTTAAGGTTCTTAACTAGAGCTAAAAACAATCTGCAGGACTGTGAAATAGAGAATGGCTAACAGACAGCAACATTGCAGAAGAAAAGATAGCTTGAATAGTAGAACATTAAGACCATTAAAAAAAGAAGGTCATTAACACTTCTGAAAGGGGGAGAGATTTTCAGGAATCTGGGAGGCGATAACAAGCCTTGGATTCAATAGAGCCTCTCAGCACTGCTGGAATAGACATGCTGCTGCCTGTCTCATACAGTTGGTGGAGCAGGGATCAAATGGGGGTGCATCTATACCACTGCACCCTCCCTCCTTGTGATGCACTCATGGGAGGGGACCTCCTGGATTATTGAGCTCAGTTTCCTGCTAGTGTGGGCAACCACATTATGTGCTCGTTTACCTAGGTCCATTTTAAAGTCACTTATGACCTCTCGGCACATGCCCCTGATGGGAGGTTGTTCCAGAACCACGCGCCTCTAATGCTTATAAATAAGTACGGTTGTGCCCACATGCTTCTAACTGGGCATTCTAAGTCATTATGCTTAATCTTTTTTAAAATATGGAATTTTTCTTGGGAAATTGCCTAATAGATGTTATAGGTATTGTTTGTGTTCCATATCCCCTCCCCTCCACTTGATTTTTAAGGCACTTATGGAAACTGCCATTAATATGGTGAATTCTCTTTTGTTTGCAGGCCCAGCTTCATCAAGAGATAGGAGTGAGCTGATGTGGTCTGAAATACAACTGTAAAACTGCCTGATGTCTTCTAAA